GGCTTCGACCGTGACTCCCCAACATTGTTCCAGACGACGACGTGCCGGGTTTCGGCCGCCGATCGAACTCAGCGGAGAGCGTGTCGGGCTTCGACCGTGACTCCCCAACTTTGTTCCAGACGACGACGTGCCGGGTTTCGGCCGCCGATCGAACTCAGCGGAGAGCGTGACTCCAGAGCACATTGTGCCCGAAGACGACGGCCCAGAGCCCGGATCGCGGCTTGCCGCTACCGCGACCACCCACCACTCCGAGTTGCATCGGCAACACCGATCGCACGCGCCTCGGCGCCGTATGCACGTCACTCATTGTACAGTAGATTAATAAACTCTCGTTGTAAGTTAACCAAACCAAGCGCATTACTGCCAGCCCTCTCTCCTATTACGATCCTGGACGCCGTCGAGCTTTTCCAAGCGATAAATAACGCAAAAGCACGAGGCGAGGGAAGTGACCCCGTTACATTGGCTCCCGAACAGGGACTTTTGACAAAGAGGAGAGAGAGAGAGAGAGAGAGAGAGAGAAAGATCAGGCACAACAAGAGGAACGGCGGCTCTAACGGGAAGACCCAGAGCCATGGAAGGGGTAGTCAGAAAAGGGTGGATATACACCCTAAGTAAAGAACAGCTGACGGAGCTACTGGAGGAGTATGAGCTCAGCCCGGAAGGCACCTTGGGCGAGATGAGGCGAAGTATGGGCAGCTATGTCGGACAGCATCCGGAGCAATTCCGGATCCCGGAACCGGTCGTTAATGCCGAGGAGGCAAACCGTAAAAGGATACGGGCCCCGAGTCTTGTCCCGTCCGAGGCCTCCAGCGCGGTAGATACGATGAATCAAATCCGGAAATGGGGATGCCGATTCGACGGCAAAGACCCCGTCGCATTCCTAGAGCGAATAGAGGAACTGCAGGTGGGATACGGACTTAGCAAATCTCAAATGCTAACCGGGCTACCAGAGCTCCTGCGCAATGACGCGCTATTGTGGTACCGAAACCACCGCGCCAGCTGGACCCACT